CGGTGCTTATTTCCCTGTTTATCTTGGGTTAGTCATTGGCTTCTAGGCATGATGGATTTTCTTCTCCTTTGTTTCTCTGGGGAAAGGTATGATGAAGGTACTCCTACGTTGTCATCTGAAGATGATGTAGGGCATGGCTCTTCCTGGCTGCTAAGGTGGGTCCCCAGAGAAGAGGCAGTCTTCAGGATCACTTGGCATTTCCCTGCTCAGGGCTTTGTGAATCAGTCTCAGAATCTCAAAACAGACATTTCTGGCCACAGAACCAGTATATTTTGTGGTGCCCTGATCTACTTAGGAGGTGAGCGCCAGCATTGTCTATGAGCTGCAGAATTTTGCTTGCATTAAGGCAGAAGGAGTTGCCAGCTTGAAAGCACTAAATGTTTTAAGTCTGCTGCAGTGCTATTATTCCTACTATTGCTCCTGTTGCTACTACTGCTACCACTACTAGCATGATCCAAGAGAGGTGATCAGCGCCTTCAGGTTTGTATTTGTCAGTGAAAAGTCAAATTTTGCTGTAAGAAAAAATAAAACATTTTCTAGCCAACTTCAGGTAACAATATTTAAAAGTACCCACTACCTTAAAAAAGCAGAATAGAACATTGTACTTATTACTAGATTCTGCATAATTTTCTCCTTGCCAGAAAATTTAGTTTATTACATATACACCACCCTGAATTAAACCCAATATTTTCTGAATATTACCTCTCTCACATACTAGACATTCCTTCATCATTTTAGTTCTGTTTCTGTAGTATATTTTATCCTTCCTGGATCTATGTTTAGTCTTCTAATGTGTCAAAACTAATCATTATTAGAGAAGTGTGATGAGTGATTTCTAATTCTCTTTAAAAAAGTACCAGAATAGATAGTTGGTTGAACTTCCTAGGTATTGGCTTGCCTCATAAGGTCTTGAAAATATGTCAAAATGAGAAAAAAAAGTTGTTAAGGTACTGATTAAGATCAATATTTACTATTGATGATGCATTCTAATCCTGTGCTAGGTGGAGATTTTTGTTATAGATCATGAAAACATGTAAAATTATTCCTCTTTTTTTGTAAAATCCTTCACTTTTAAAATAGTTCAGGCTGTCTCTGGGTTAAATTATTCACTTGTCTTTCGTAACAATAACTGTTTAACTATACCAGTCTAACTTCAAAAAAAAAAAAAAGAAAAACAAGCAAAAAACCAAAACCACAGAAGACTGTTGATGTCACAACTGTTACTCTGAATGTCATTCAGGTAGCATTTATTTTCATAAAGCCCATGGGAATTTTGTTAAAATGACAAGGAAGTCTCAGACAGCAGTAGCTGTATTAGCAAGCTTTCTTCTTCTTAAATAGGGGTTTTGAAGTTTGCCCACAGAAATTAATGGAAGAGAAGATTCAAGACTTGTGTTGATAGGGACTTCTGTAAGCTTGCAGAGGACTTGCTGGTGGAGGGGCTGATACTCAATGAATTCATTCACTTTACTGTTATTTAGTATTCTGGCAGAAGAACTACTTATTCCAGGAAAAGCCTCAAGCATAAGAAAGCAAGTCCCTAGCGTAGGTGAATCAGAGCAATATTTCTGCTTCAGTTACCCCTTAAAACAGTGAGCATTCACTTTGAAAAATCTACTCTTGAGGCATAATGCTAATAGGACACAGAATGGATCTGGCTGTTTTATAATACACAGGCCTGAAATATATGTCAGCACTGATTATTTAAAACTGGAAATCTGCCAAACTACTGCAAGAAATTTGTCTAATTAACAAAAATGTACTACTACAAGGACCATTATTAGAGTGGTTTGGAGATTGCAGGTGAGTTGTACACCTGAAAAAAATTGGAGTTTATTTTATTTAAAAAAAAAAACTAAAAAAAAAGCTTGTAAGGTCCCTCTTAATTAATTCTCGTTCTCTCTTCCCACTGTAAATCATGCTGTTGTCTTGCATGCACATCTATGTAGTATACACAATCTGACAAACTTCAAGACTGTTTTGGTAAGTGGTGTTAATACTTTCCCTATTAGGATTTTGTAGTGAGTAGGCTGTCAACATGGAAATTTGCCTGCAAATCTCAACGATCCCATGAGGTAACTGCTTCCAGAAAGATAGTGATAATACCTTGTGCCTTAAGAACTCTTTTGAACTGGTAAGGTATTTATGAATTCTTTGTGCTGCAAAGCAGCTGCAGAACAAATAAAGGTAAACTCTCTGAATCTCCATTATATCTCTATGAAAATAATGCTAGTTTAACAGACTAGTGGAAGACCACACTGGGTAATGGTGACAGGCATATAAGAGGACACGTTAAAGATGGGGCAAAGAGGCCTGATACACTGTACTGAAAAAAAAAAAAAAAAAGGCATTTACCTTTTTTTTTTTGACACACATTGGAATAAAAAGTTTGATTTTCCTTCCAAACATTCCAACTATTCCAAACATGCCAGACCTACAGAACGGTTCTCTATCTCTGGTACCCTCTGCCCTGTGCTCTGCCTGCTTTTTTGCTCCCTTCCTTTTAGATGTATTATGCCCCCTTATTGCTTTGAGGATGGTCCTGCTTTGAGCTGGGGACTGGACCATTGACCTCCAGAAGTCCCTTTCAACTAAGATTTTTCAGTGATCCTCTGATATCTGATAATCACAACTTTTTTTTGCCTTCTAGCAAAAGCTTCTCCAGGATTTCTATGGTATTAAAATCTTCAATTCCTTCACTGTAGTTTATGAATCCACTACCAAATGGATTTATTCATCCTTAACCCTTTACTGTCATCTCTGCCTACCATCTCCTTTCTATGCTTTTGTGTGCTCTCTCTTTATCTGCTTTGTGTCCTTCCTTTAATTTATACCACTTTCTAGTCCACATACCTCACAAACTATGTGCCAGAGCCTCATGAACAAAGCTTTGAGTCACAGATCATCTCTAGATCATCTATTGCTAGATATTATGTTCTGTAATTGTATTTACAGGATTTTTGCAATTGGATTGTCTGATGATATTGACAGAGGAAGTTACGTAAGTGTGTTTGTAAGCTGTATTTCAGTGAGCAATAAGAAATATTCAATCTCTAGTGCTTGTGCTGTTCTGCACAATCTCATGACCTACTTCCAGGGAAGGACGAAACATCTTTTTGTGTTAATACTCAGACTGCAAAGGGTTTCCTGGAGAGATGATTGCTTCTTTCAGTAATAAGAGTAAAGGTAGATGAATGGTTCCTTTCTCCCAATTGCTTAGTGAACAGCCAAGTGTCATTCTTCCTCACCTTCACTTCATATATTCCTAGCATTTTAACATTTCTCAAAGTTTTCCATTAAAAGTGTTTTCCAGATAGCAATGGAAAGCCTCAGTCTTGCATGAATATAATTGAGAGAGCCTACTTTTAGTCCCTTAGTTCAGCTATTACAAAGATATTCATAGTTTCAGAGTAAAACTGAAAATACCAACAGTCAAGGAAAATTTCAGCAAGAAAATGGAATTTACAAGTCTATAAATGTCTTCTGAGTGTGTTCTTCTAACTTCTAATGCTAATTTTAATTGGGAATAGAGGTTCCTGTATTATGTAAGTTAAATCTTCTTTTCTGTTGACTTTTTTGATCTCCTTTCTATTCCTGTTTTATGGGGATAATTAAGTTCCAAAAGTGAATTAAAATCATTAGGTGAACATAGACATATTAGTTAAAAAGAGGATGTGAAAAAACTGAAGAGAACTTCTAAACCCCAGGCTCTTTGACTAGTATCCCAGGTGAAAACAGAAGGATAAATCTCTCACTTTGTCAAAAGAAACTTGAACTTTCTCGAATATTCTTTCATTGGGACGCTACATTACTGGTGCCTTTGAAGCCAAATATGTGTCTAATCAATATCTTTCAGAATTCTGAGCAGAGGCCATTAAAGGTGTGACAAATCTAAGGCATTTTACAAATGACCCTTTTTGACAGAAACATGATGTGGATTAATTAAGATCAAAATAACCAAGGCGAATGAGGTTTAGACTACTAATGTTTCTCTCTTTTCTTCTTCTCATGAGCACACACAGGGACATGCACTTTTAAAATGTCAATCTGTAAGGCCCTGTTCTTCCATCTTGTTGGTTGATGAAAGATTGACTTTGCTGTCTTTTACAGATAGTTTCATTTAATTGGTGAAAGTAAAATGAAGTTTGTCATCTAACCAATTGATACTTACAGAGACTTCAGAAGCTATATTTTAGCTGATTATAAGAAGTTTTAATATGTAATCCTTGCAACAAAATAAAATTTTATTACTAAGAACAAGGGGATTATGGATCAAAAAAATGAGGTTTTTCTGCCATTTTGTCAGGGAAAGTGTATTCTCAGTGAAAGGATTCTATTTATTGTGCTTTTTGAGGGTGAACTCTTTTTGAGGGTGAGCTTTCACGGAAGTATACATCATAGCCTAAGACACTGTTACTTAAACATTGTTTTCTTACTGGTATGTCACTGCTAAAGCAAGACTCATTAACTACTTTCTGTAATAGCATAACTTGTGAGGAGGCTGAACTCAAGCTTGGGAAGGATTTATATGTGCCTATGCCTTCATGTTTTCTTATTATTTTGGTATTTTATCTCCTAAACTCTTTAAGGGACTGAGAAAAAGGTTTTAATATTTTTCATATTAGATTTTATTCAACACTGTGATGACACTTTCACATTTATTACAAAGCAATTGATCATTTCTTAGCGTACAGTGTGAGAGTATGTGGTAACTCCAACAGCTTTGTCCCACTTCCGTTCCAGAGTAACTTGCATTTTTATTGCTATAACAGTGACTTAAGACTCATACCATAATTTCTACTCTTTTTTTTTTTTGATTATTTTTCAAAACAGTTAATGAAGCACAACAAACAACATCTTTTAGTATCTTGCGGCCTAAATTTCTGCAGCTGTATCTAGTTCTCATCCAGTTATTCTGTTAAGAATCCATGTTTAAATTGAAGATGTCACAGATTATTGAGTATTTCAAAAGGCTTAATATCCCCTTGTGTATTTTGCAGACAATCCTGGGCTAGTGAGCCACGTTCCAGTTGGTATTAGAATCCTGGACATCAATGACAACCCTCCGGAGCTCGCCAGGGAGTATGACGTAGTCGTCTGTGAGAATGTAAAGCCTGGTCAGGTAATTCTGACAGTTATCTTTCTCGCAGTGAGAAAGAAGAATTACTTTATTTGAGAATGCCACTATGTAAGAAGTTTGATTTGGGGAACACGCCATAATTCTTTCTGATTTCATTTTCGTATTTCACATTTGATTCAACTTCCTAACTATATTAGGCAGAAGGGAGATTTGGGAATTTGTTCAATATATCTTTCTTGTTGCTGAAAAAAATACCCAAACTATCTTCAGTAAAGACAGGCAAAACTTGAATCTTGTCAGGTAGGTGATGGAATTTGACAGGCCACTATCCTGAACAAAATGGATGAAGCAGATTTAGCATCTGTCATCTAAGTAAGTGCCACATGGTAGCAAGGTTTCAAATACAGCTCAGTGAAATGGCTGGTTAACATGGCTGCCATCCTCACTTTTTGCATGTTGATTGCCCTTGTCTGTGCAGGGTCATTATGGAAAAGATGTTGAAGGGGTTTTCACAGCTATGAGCGTGGGGAGGGTCAGAACTGAGACTGAATAGCTGAATCCCATTCCAGCCACTGCTCCTGTGATCAATGCACTTCATTGCAGTCCATGGTTTGACAATTTTACCAAGTGCCTTTGCTTTTCTGCATAGATTGAGCTTTTACCCAGCACTCTATACTGGTTTTGCGTTATTACACAGGTTGCAAGTTGCAATTGTGAGGTCATATCTTTCCTGAGGAATATATTACTAGTAATAACAGTTTTCTCATCAAATCTTTAAAAACGCACATAAAGTGTACATAAATGCGTAATGGTATAGTTCTATTTTTAATGTTAAGACTATAAAAATGCCATACTTCATCAGACTATAGGCTAACTAAAGTTACCTTGACTCTAACAGTAGCCGAAAGCTGACACTTAAAGACCAGTGTAAGAACATAGCAAGCATGTATGATACTTAGCCCATGTATTTCCTTGGTGTCAGATCATTTGCAGATCATTTTCTGATCCAAATGTGGTTTCTGTGTTTTTAATAATCCTTTAATAACCAACTCTTATGAATCTGTCTAGCTTTTCCTACAACAAACATAAACTTTTGATATCTTCTACGTCATGCAGCAAGGAATTTTACAGTTTAATTGCATGTTTGTGGAAGACCTACCACCTTCTTTTTTTTTTCTTTTTTAATCTTCCCATGCTGCCTTCAATCGATATTTACCAGTTCTTGTGTTGAGAGAGAGCTAGAGCGAGCACAGTTGATCCCTATTTATTATCTCTATGCCATTCATAAATCTCAGGCACATTGCCCCTCAGCCGTCTCTTGTCCAGACTGAAGAGTCCTACTTAACTTGGACAAGCTGTGATAAAGCCCTTCTAGACTTTTGATCATTCATCTTGTCCTCCTCTAAACTTTCTCCAATTCCTCTCTATTCACCTTGAGATGGGGAATCAAGAGTCAAGATGCAGGTATGCAGTGGTTTATAATTCTTATCATAGTTTTTGCTTCACAGTATATGATGATCTCTGCTTTGTTCTCTATTCCTTTCCTAGCAATTTCTAACAGTGGCTTTGCTTTTTAACCACTAGTAAGCATTGAATGCAAAAAACTGCCTGCCATAACACTGATATCATTAGAAGTAATGGTCAGCTCAGGGATCATCATCATGTATGTGAAGTTAAGACTTTATGTCTATGTATAACGAATTTCACGTGTCTTTGTATTGCCTGGCTACTGAGTATTGGAAGGTCTTTAGTGTCAGCCCTTTCTCTTTTCTTCCTTGAAGAACTCAGTATCGTTAAGTAGATTTGGTGGGCTGATTATTCATACTCTTTATAAGACATTTATTATTACACTGACCAACAAGTGGCCCAGCATAAATCTGTGTGGAACAGGAAATCTTTGTGACTTCCTCTCCTTGTGGAATAGCCAATTTACAGAAGAGACCCTATTTCCTGTCCTTTGAGTAATTATTTGTGCAAGGACCTTCCCTCTTATCCCATGACTGCCTAGTTTTCTTCAGTTGCTGTTACTGAGACACCTCACTCAAAGCCTTTGATAATCTAAGTAGGTCTATCTATCAACTGAATCTCTCTTACTAACATGCTTATTAAAGTAGAAATAATGTTCTGAAAACCTCAAATAAAGCCAAATATAGAAGAATTAGAACTTGTAAAAGACTAATTTAAAAACACAGAAGATAAAATCTCTTAAGCGTTAATTGCAATTGCATTCAACATATTCTGATTACTTTTAAAATTATATAATTTAACAGTAATTGTTAAATTTTTATAATTAATAATAAGCTAAAGCATGCAGGAAGCTAGCTCAGAAATGCTCTGTTTGCTGGGAGCGTTGGTGGTGGTGAGTAGCTGATGTTTCTTACTAGCAAAGTTTTAACTCTCCAATAGTAGCTTTGCAAATGGAAATTTATGAGATGTTTAAAGGATAAAATAAGTTTTACTATAATAGCATTTGCTCCTGATTTGGGTCAGTGCTGTATTTCTTTCTGAGCTACTGTTGCAAGCGTGAATGACTCCTGACCTCTGCAGCATTGCAGTTTAGCACCCAAGATTAATGCTACCATGAAGGACTCTACGAGCAGTAGTTTAATATGAAAGGCGGGATCAGCATGCTGTTGTATTCTTAAACTAACAGGACTCCATTACGTACATGACATGTACTAATTTTTATTTGCATTGCACAAGGCTTCAGAAAAGATTGTAATACCATTGCACTGCACAAAAAGCAAAAACAAAACACAAACGTGCCTGGCTCTTACTCAGAAGATCTTACTGTCTGGTTTAAGCAAGAAAATGACAGTGTTCAACAAATATTAAGGAGGGACAAATAAACAAAGATTATAGAACAAGACAAGTGTTCCATATGCTAAAAAGTTGCCTAGCTGGATGGTTCTGAATCACTGAAAAGGCAGTGTTTACTCTGAGTTATGCATGATCTTGTGAGAATGATTCATAAGATTTATCACTAAAGAAGAAATCCTGTCATGTACTGCCGGGTACTTCTCCTTGACTAGTGCTTTGAGGTTGGGCTTCAGCCCTGCACTGCCCTGTAATAGTCCTTATTTCTTTCCTCAGCACACGTATTTTGAATTTATTATGTGCAAAATAAACTAACCAATAGTTTGTCATTGGAAGACATTTTTTGTTTGCTTGTTTATTTTCAGAAGAGGCTTCTATGGAAAGAAATCACACTATCATTTAATTGCACAGCCTCTGTCTCCTGCTTCTTTTTCCCTCCACCGTTCAATTTATTTACTTTAAAAAAAAAAATAAGTCAATAAAATTTAAGGACTTAAGTGCTTAAATGAACCCCCCTAAGGCATGTCAAACAGAAAATGCTTGTGAGAAGATGATCATTTCCACACTGAAGCGACAGCTTTACTCCCTTAGCAGTCACCTTGTTGAGAAGATAAACTAAAGTAAGTATCTCCAACAGCTTCCAGGTGAAGCCTGATAGATATCAAATATTAAAGTAGATAAAGCAGCTGTGATTTGATCTCAGATGGTATCCAGTCTTGGAGAACTCTGACTTCTAGAAATATACTGATTTTGTGAATGATTGTGAAACTTAGCCAATGTAGGAAAATGAAATTTTGCAATCATCTACAACATGTATTTACAAATGAATTTTTCCTCTGCTTCAAATGCAACTTCTTTTATTATTTTTAAGACAATGGGAGCAAATGGCAATGTAAAAGAAAGTTTAAATGCTTTGTTCCGGAAAGTGAAGAATTGACAGTTTACTGAATGTTTCCAAGTTCAGTGTTTGTCCTGGCAGAGTGTGAACCTATCGAAATATCTGACTAGATCTGCTAGTCATATCTGCTGTAGCTCTCCAAAGATAACATTTTTTCTGTGTGCTTTTCAGAGGAACAATAGAAAAAGTTGTGATAGTAGTGAAATGTCATTTCCCTGACTCTATCCATCACTGTAAATTAACACACAGGTGTGTGTATGTGCACATGCACACAGACACACAAACAACTTTTTCAGAATCAGGGTGTATAAATATTGTGCTGCTAGCATGAGCTACCTCACCCTGGATGCTGTTATTTCTAATAGCCAAAGGAAATCAATGTAGCTGGCAAGGAACACCTCTGCTGTAAGTTTGTCATGTGCATATTTACTTGTTTATTGATTCAGTTCTGAAAAGGATCTGAGTAGAATTTAGCACCTGCTCTCTATCCTCTTCAATTAGTTCTCCTCCGTTCTTGAAACTCTTTCTTTTCTGTCCAACTCTTGCCTTTAAAAAAAATAGCATAACCCTTCATTTTCATCGCTTCAGTGCTATCAACTGAGCTCTAGAGCAGCTGAGGTTCTGTGTCCACATTTTTATTTTAATCAGTTTTGGTAAGGTGCATGTTAACATCTGCTAATAGGCCATTAATTAGTTGACCTATTAATTAGAAAAGGGTTAACAGCACATTGGGTGTCAAAAGGACACACACTTTTGTTCCTCACCTCTGAATGAATGTCCTAGGAATCTTTTCCTTTTAAAGCAGGAGCCTTTTCTGAAAGAGTGTGAGCTTTCTGTTTAAAAACAGTTCTGTCAAAAATATTTTGACCTGTCCTATTACACATACAATGTCTATTTTCCACATGGAAAAGCATGATTTCTATACCATTTGCTGCTATACTTTTTACATACATTGGTGAATTCAGGGGATACTTGATCTTCCATGTGTGAAAGCAGGGAATGTAGACAGTATATTTTGTTGAATTAGTCTTAAAAACAAATAAATTTTATACTAGTCTTAAGGCACTGAGGCCTTGATCAAAGGTATTTTTGTTGCAAAATGCCATGTTCTTGAAGCAAGATTCTGTAAAATGTCACTGAACGTTTTATGTAAGAGAGGGCAACAGGACAAAAGTTTATCTACTAGGCTGTCAAATAAAAGCTGAAGGTGCATGGCAAAATGACTTATATATCACTGATAAACAGCACTGAGGATTTACAAACAAGGACATATCTTTTTTTTAAGGTCTTACCTGAATTCTTTACAGCTATGTATGGTATTTAACAGTGTTTTTAGTATTTGAGTAATAACAGAAACTGATTCTCTTGAAAATATTCTTCCATCAGCTGTTTTTTTTGTCTTGCTTTGCCTCATAACATTTCAACATTATTAACTAAATATATCTAGCTAAGATAATCTTATATTTCAGTTTTTACATGGTAGTTGTTTCAATAACAGATACACCACCTTTGCAAAATTCAATAGTGAACAATTAGCTTTTGCCAAACTTTTTCACCGATATTGCCATGACTTTGATAAACTGCATGATTATAGATGTTTCAGATTGATCTTATTCTGCTACAGTTCAGCAGACTTTTAAAACATTCTTAGCAATTTTCATCAGTATTGTTAATTGTCTCAGGTGTGTATAGTCAATATAATGTACTATATCGTATATAGTCAATGGAATAAGCATTGTACTCTATTGGCTTTAAAATACATTTGTTTTGCTTCTCTTATGTGAATGGAGGTAGAGAACTGTGTGCTGTCTCTCAGTTTTAAAACAGACCAAACCACTTGAGCCCACCGTTTATGCTTCAGGTTCAGTCCAGACAGACTATAGCTGAACATGGAACAGAAAAATCCTCATGAAAAGAGCACTTTCCTTCCTCCTTTTACGTTTCCCTCAGGATATCTATCAGCTCTGTGCAGCAGTTTGTGTGGTCTTCACTGCCTATATCACAAGAACAACTTTTATTAAATTTTACTTTAGCACTTGAGCTTCCAGACCCAGCATGAAAATGAAAGCAGAGGTAGAAATATTGCTTGGTCACACATTCCAAAAGCTTTGCTCAGTTTTAGTTGAAAGCAAATTTTAAAAACCACCAGAGCTTTCGAAGGCAAATGTCCTACCTTTCAAAAATACTTCCCGCGTACATGGTTGCTATGTCTAATTCTGTTCCTTTTGAGCAAACCAAACTAAAACCAGGAGTGGCTACTGTTCTTCCTGTTCTGTTCCCTGGCAATTTAAAACTGATTCTTAAAAGGAATTTTAAACAGAGAGCTGGTATTATATACCTGCCATTTTTTTCCTAGCCAATATTGAAGTGCATCTAATTACTGGGATGGCAAGCAGATGATGCTCCACATAGACCATCCTGGTTCAGCCTGAATTTTGTCTCCATAAAAACAGATGTTTAAGTAAACGATAATTCTGAAACTCACTAGGATGCAATGCAGATGGGGAAAATCTTTGTACCAGGTCTTCACCATATCAGAGTGTCAGAAAGTATAGATGCTTTAGATGCTTTTATCTAGCTCTGAAGTGTGGTTCCTAAAATATTTCATGCTAGAGGAATCAAGCTAATGGCCCAGTCATTTCATCAGTTGACTTTAGCAGCAGTCAAGTAGAAAATTAAAATAGGCTAAGTTTGAGCATCGTACTGAGGTCAGGTACTCTTTGGGCCAAGTTAAAATTTCAACACATTCACTGTTGATTTTTGTTTCAGGTAATTCAGACTATCACTGCAACTGACAAAGATAACTCTGCAAATGGGGCAAGATTCCATTTTTCCCTTGATGAAGGGCTTTCTTTGAATCCCAACTTTACTCTAAGGGACAATGAAGGTAAATCAAACACATAAATCTCAAAGAAATGGGTCTCTCTTTGGTCTGGGATGTCTCATTGGACAGAACAATTTCCATGTGTTTCTTGACAGAGGGAAAAATCTGTAATCTCTCATCACTGAACTGGCTGATATCAAGGACATGGTGTATACAACGTATTGCAAACTATGAATAATCAGATACTGCATTTTATTTTTATATTCCATTTTATTTTAGCATTTATACTTCATTCAGGAATGTTTTTAAAAAGGGGATTAATGAAAAAGATGTTGGCAATTTAGTCTATTTCTAGGTGAATAGCACTGAGTGGGTACTGTCAAGGTTATTGCCGGTTAATTGCTTAAAGGAGAAAATAAGAATTTAAGGGGCATAGAAAGTTGAATTCATGCTTACTTTTACATGTATGATACCAAGAGCAGGTCCTTCAGTGCTTCCTTGATGATAATGTGTTGCTTCATGCCCTTCCTAACAAAGTGTGCCTAAAAAGTACAATCAGAAATTCATAGCAGAATAGGCCCAGAAGGAAAAGGGCCTTCAGAGTCACCCAGCCAGGTGTTTCTGAACACTTCATGAATCAAAGAACCATACAGCCTTTCCAAAAAGACCCCAAATCAGCCTTAATATTGGTTGAGTATTGCCTCATGGTTTCCATTTTACAACCTGATGAAAATGAAAGTAAACTTTAAATGCTTGTCTGTAGCTTTCCTCTTGAGCTTTTGTGTATGTGTGTATGATGTGGTTTTGTTTGTATGCATGGGGGGGGGTGGCTTTATTTTACAGTTATATTTTTGCAGTAGTGCCATGGAACACCTTCTGAGATCTTACAGATCACTACTCATCCGTAATGACTGAGAAGCATTAACTCCATCATTGGTACATACGGTACATACAGTGATGTTTAAACTATTCTTTACAGTTATTTTTTTATCTGCTTGTAAAACCTTTCAGGGAAGGAGGCTGCATAATCTTCCTAAAGAATCTGTTCCAATGTTTAACTATAATTACAGCAGAAAAAAAAAATCAAGTCACGCAATTTGTTCAAGCTAGATTCATGGCCCTCATATTCTGGTTCCAAAAGAGATCAATACAATATCTATCAATATTAAAAAAATAATAATATTTGAAGGACTAATTCATAAATTAAAAATATTCCTTAAGTAATGACTCCAGCCTTTCACAGATTAGTATATCAATTCCACTTGGATCATGATGGAGCATTATAGCAAAAGCCAGAGGGTTGTTCCTGAAATAAAGGAAGTGTACTGTTGTGTATTTCTGTATTTGAGTCTAATATTCAAATAAACTCATTGAGTATTGGACTGTGATCTCATGTGGGAGACCATGGCCATGTTCATTTCAGTGCAAGATACTTACATCAAGACATACTTTTGAATAACTCTATTAAAATTGTGGTTCATGATGAAGTATATGTTTTATGGTTTTGAACATATTTTAATCGGAATCTGTATTACATGTGTTTATTACCAGTGGAAAATACTGTGTTATACTTTAAGGACTGCATGTCAGCCTAAGTTATTTACCTACACAGATTTATAAGACGGTGAGAACTTCTCATAAATCTGTAATGGGGCAGTGTCACGCTTTGGATATAAGTATGCAGCAGTAAGTACTTGCTGCTTTCTTATTACCTCCCCAAGAGCAGTGAGCAGTAACTTCACCAACAGCAGAATGCAGCGTTTGGACTACCCTAAGTTGGATTTGGCAGGGGAAATTAGGGGAAGGAACTGGAAAAGATGTCCTTTAAGGTAAAGGCCTGTTGTGCATTATGTTTTTATTTTACCTAAGGAGATACAAAAAGTATGTAGCGTCTCGCATAAAACTTCTACACATAGAGACTCCAGAAATGCAATTTCCAATTTGCCCATATAATTCAAACAACGACAGCTTAACTAAAATCATCACAAGAAATTTATCTTAAAGACAAAAGCATTGTCACTATAAATACTGCCCTTTATTGGGACCTTTTCTTTGTGACACAATCTATATATAAAATATCAGTGAAACATGTATAAAGTGCATTCACAATATCCAGTTATCTAGATTACAACTTTTCCTATTTATCATCTATTCCTATTCAGAAATAGAATTTCTGTTGCTTTCTATTCCAGGAAATAGCTGAGAGATGGTAGGCAGAAGAGGCTTTTCTTATGTCTGTGACAAGTTTGCACTTTTGAAAACTCATGTTTTCGAGCATCAGCTGTTAAAAAGAATCAATGCTCAACACAAGATAGCTGCTATTTTTACCTCTGGATTTAATAATTCTATAAAGGCTGGCATTCTTGGAGGGTTTTATTTGTTTGCTTGTTATGTTATTTTTTTTAAGAAAAAAACTACAGCAGTTGCCTTAAGAGAGTTTTCAGTAATGTTTTGCAGAATGATATAACCCCAAATCTCAATGTCACATTGAAAGGGGTAGTCAGTGGTAGCTGTATCTGTCACTGCAAAGCTATATTTCTCTTGCAGGCATCTTTGGATCCAGTCATCCTCTCCTTTTATTTCTTCATGACAAAGGTTTCATTTCACAAAATCTCAGTAGATGTTTTCTTCCCTTGTTTTCATAACACGGAACAACAGAATTCTGCTCTTTGAGCCCAAATACACTATTGCATGAATGTTCCCCTACTCCATTATCATCAGCAGAGCTACAAGATCAAAAGACCACAGCAGTGAATTGGACCTTTAAATATTAACACTTACATCTATTCACTTTGACTGAAATCTAGAGGACCTGCACAAGCATAAGATTTCATAGTTTGTCCCTACCTACCTGTATAGACTGCAGCAATGTACAGTCTCAGCATGTGAGTGATTCAGGTCAATAATATTCTATGGCTTCAGAAGAGGAAATGGATATTAAAGTGTCAGTCCAGATAATTAATCATATGACCAGTTAAACTTTTATTGCTTGGGCCTGAACTTGTGCCTTTACTCAGTAACAATCCACAGTGTTAAAGCTGCAGCCTTTGAATATGCACCCTCATAAGGCAGAGCTTAAAACCCTCAGGGAAGTGTAGGTCAGGAGACAGCCACAGGGCTATAGCATATATGCAGTCCAGCAGAACCTAAGAGTTGCTTGGATCACCTTCTGGATTCTGTTGGTGTTTACAGTTTTCATTTTAAAGAAAAAAACGGGAAAGACAGAATATTACACCTTTTCCCCTACTGACTGGATTCTGAAGCTACAGTAGATTCTTTGTTGCTATTGGACTTTTTTTTTATATACTGACAAAGTACTAATCAGAGAGAAAAAAGGCTTAGAGTATGAACAAGCGGACAGCCAACAAAATGATGCAGTATCTGTACACATGTAAGCAAGACAGAACAAGAGCTGCAATAGAATTTCTTTGCTATACAAAGAAAACACATTATGTTGTAATAATTTCCTGCAATTTTAGAAAGCAAACCTAGGGAAGATGCCTTTTTGTTTGTTTGGGAATTGTACTTATGAAGGCTTTTTAATGAAAGCGGGGCTGTTTACAGTTTATTCTGTCTAGAATAATGTTGCCGTTTCTATGAAAACCTGAGCAGCCAAATACCTTTTTAATCTGGAGGTGCTTTTATGTTGCAGTTCAGATGCTACATAATTCAGTTCATTGTTGTCTGTGTTCTTCTCACTTTGTTTTTTTAGGATGTTATCAAAGATAATTTTTAATGGTTTTTTCACTTGTATGTAATACCTCAAATTTACACTTTTTGCCTAATCAGAAATACCTGCTTTTGGATGTCCCATTAAAAATTTGCCAGGGCAATATGAAACTAAAACCACCTTCTGTTGGGGAATCAGAGGAAAGATGAAAGAAATTCGTCACAATAGAGCTGTTTCTAAGTACTGAATTTTAAAATGTCCTTTTTTTATCCTGAAAGAATCATAATATTAATCCAGATGCTTAAAGAATGGTTGATATATTTGTCAAAATTTGTTAGTTTGATGGAAAATGCATGAGAGCATATGTCATTTTTATGATATCCCCAACTGTTAATGTATAGATGTACACATTTGCATAGTTTGTCCCTCTCTCTCTGAGGTTACAAAATACATTCCCTCTTTCTGCCTATTTTGTTATCTGTTAGAGACCTCTTTCAGAAGTTACACAGCACTTTTCAGGGAGCTGGCAAATGATTGAACCCTCAGAGAACAGTTCACGTAGGTGCAAGAGAACATTTATGAATTTTATGCACTGTAAAGCACTGTTTTGCCGGTGATATTTTTTGTCACAAGATATACAGTCTACCATGGATGCCCCAGCGGGTATTGTAAATTTCCTGGACGGTAAGGGTTTGTGCAGAGACTCTGCACACTCACCCAACACTGCCAGTAAGATTTGTACATTCTCTTACTTTAATAAATTGAGACTGCTGACTTCTGAAAGTAGACAAAGTTTACCTTACTTTCAAGGAAGAACAACTCCCTAAGAGAATGCTTAGCATTTGTTCTCCTTTTATTTCTTCAGGACAAAGGTTTCATTTCACAAAAATATTTGCAGTTTTATTTTTCCCCTCTGCCCACTTTTCTCAAAGATCTGGCCTTTTGAAAATTGCCCAGTGATGGAGAATATTCTGGAGTTGGAACAAAGGACATTTTTCTCATAGTACCCCTTTGGAGATTCCTTTTTCTTAGTCTCATGCCACAAGATATTTTAATACCCACAGAAGCAGAGACCTGGTTATCTGTAGATCTGGAACACAATGAGTTCAATGGCATCTGTATAAAATGAAAGTTGTAATGTGTTCATTCACCCATGCCTATGATGCAAATTAACATTTTTCCTGTGTCACAGATCAAAAATGAGTAAAAAAAAGATCCGTTTTTCTTGGCATTGCTGTTATTTTGGAAGAGAGCAACCTCCAGAATGTAATTCATCCCGTCCCAGTGTGAATTCCCTTGCAGAAGTTTCTGTTTATCTCTCTTCCCTGTTATGTGCAAAATTCTTATCTCCAACCATATTGCACAAGATGTCTGTAGCAGGCCAGTAAACTGACTTTAGAGCTTTAACGTTGCAAATAAGCATGCCAGATACCAGACCTTGTCTGAGTTGCTCTAGTGCGTCTGAAGTGGCATTAAAAAAGGTCAGGCTGAAACCCCCGCTTTGCAGCCCAGCATGAGTGGGAAACAGCTACATGGTTCCTGCCTCCATTTACACTGAAGTGGCGTGCTTGCTCTGGTTATGTAGTATTGCAAGTTACTACTACTGCCCTTCCATGAAATATCATCCTGTAAAGAAGACAAGTTGTAACTTGAGAGAAATGATATCTGAGAAAGTGCAAAGTTAGCATTGTACATGGTGACTATAAGTGCAGTCCATAGAAGTGCTGTTACTGTAAATGAGTTGAATGCCTGAGCAGGTATTATCACTGAATCAACATATGAAAGTAAAAAAGGAATTCTTACATGAGTACAAAGGACAGAAAACCAGGGCTAGCTACCATAGAGGGAGATGCTTTTCTTCCTCAGGCCTCTGAACATCTTCAATAATATTTTGATTTTAAAAAGTTAGATCTAAGATCGATCAGATAGGTAACAGTGCATAGTGTATAGGTTAGGTTCTTCATGCATTTCTTTTCAGTGCTGCTACCTGTTGGTGTTTCACAAACCAACCCATAAGCAAATAACTATGTTTCAGGCCCCAAAAGTCTACTATGTTGCTTTTCATTTTTGCTACCCACTGAATTAGAAATTGGCAATAGCTTTTTGCCCATTGGCAATAGCTTGAAACCAGCACAAAAAGAAAAAAATATTTACAAGAGTTACCAGTAAAGAAATGAAACAGAAATGGCTATCAATATAGTCCCACGTAAACAAAGTAATTGCTCTAACTTCAGAAATATAAGAAATGCAAATCATTCTAATATATTTTCTTTAGTTTTAATTAGTTATGACTTGTCAGAAAATTTATAGAAGTTGAACTGCTGATAGCAGCAGAGCTGAAAATTAAAACACGCCTTAAGCTAGAAACAGGTTTTTACTCTTATTTTTTTATTTCCATTTCTCTGGTGTCTGCCTGTAATGTATAACGTGTCAAAGGAATTCTCAAATTGTGAATAATAAATGAGTATCCTCCAAAGTGCTGCAGTAGTCACCTTCCATGGTGTTATCATTGTATCTCAACTTCCTTGATTTTCCTGTGCCCTCCTGTCTTTTCTGAGTTCAGAAGCTCAGTGTAAAAGGACGGAGATGATAGAAAGAGGAATGTGATAACAGCCTTGTATACAGTGTGCAGTCTGGCTTAATAAACTACCACATCTTCAGAGTGTGAAGAGCTGCTGCCTTAGAACCATGGAGAATTTCCCATGTGTAGCCTCAAACCCACTTGAGATGAATCTTAAGTTCTAATTGCCATGTCTGCAAAGCACAGCCCAAATATGAGAAAGTTTAGATCATGAAATGGGCAGTGTGCACCACAAGGAATCAGATAAATCTTTCTTTCCCTATGTTGCAGTTGTTAGCCCAGCCCTTAGCAATCAGCCCTTTCATCTCCAGCAAGTCCTGGTGCTTACCATACTTCTCAGGGGTGAAGTTCACAGTTTAAATCTATTGAGATAAGAAGGTCTTTCCTTCCAGGCCTAGAAGAATCAGATTTGTAGTTCTCCTCATCCTAGTGCTATTGCTGCTATCCCATACACTTGTCTTCCCTGTCTATCTGCTGTATCTGTTTTCAGGTATCAGAGGAATTTCTCAGTCGATGACCCCTCTCCTCCCTTGCAAAGTAGCTTTGTTGATAATAACTTTTTATTTTATTTTATTCCCCTCAGTAAATGCTTTCCTAGGTCATCAGCGTCTGTCTTCATACTTGGCTGCCTGTAGCTTTTACAGTTTGTGGGATTTTTTCCTTTCATGCTAAGATCCTTCTCTTAAAAGTTGCTGTCTTTCTAGCTCTTCTCTCAACAGGTCCTCCAATAGTTTTTGATAAGGAATGTAAACAAAACATGGAAACTCAGAACATCAGAATAGTGATCAGGATGCTGCAGTTGGTACTGCAGTATTATGCCAAAATCATTAGCTTTGATCATTTTCTACTACCCTTGATTCTCAGTGACTTTCAGAAAATCAGTTCTTAGACACAGTTTCCTTCTCTGTAAAAATGTTAGAGATCTCATTTGTAAAATGTTCTAAAAGATTTAATGAGAAAGAATAGTACATGAGAGCTGAGTTGCTTTCCAGTATTTAATTTATATGTACACACAGGCATGCACTAAGAGTTACTATATATACCTCTGTAATAGTGAGAGTAATGATATTAACACCTCCGACAATATTGAGAAGAGAAAATTTCCATGCCAGTGCCCAAAAGATTATGATCATACTTTTTATTTCTGTACAAATTTGTGAAATTGCATTGAAGGAAAAGCTTTGCCTTGTTTCTTTGAGAATACTTATAATTGTGTATGATGTTACAGACTCTCCTGGGTATATGTCAAGTGACATTTGTTTCTAGTCATTACTCAAGAGAATACAAAAAACATAAATTCACGATGGCAAATATTTGAAATTAAAAATTTTATTCTGGCTCCTTCCTTGCCTAAAATTGGTCTTATATTTAACTCTGTGATGTTAATGATACAAGAAAAACAACTTAATGTTGAAAGAACAAATACAACATTAAAAGAAAAAATGTCTATTTTTAGATTTCTGTTTATTTTGTGTGGTATAAAAATGTCAGTTCCTTGTTTGGCAAGACCTTCCACCCCAGAGAAGCATGGTTTAATTACAGCTCTTCTCAGATTTTTTTCTCTGTAACATTTGAATTGTCTAGTTTGTCCATTTTGTCATTTTGGTCTTTTCTTTTTATTTTTTTCATATTTTTCATTAATTGTCCTCATGATTTTTCTCCCATCTGTCCACAGTTACCTTTACAGCATACATGCTTACATCTCAATGCTCTTTCCTGAACATCTTTGCCAATAGTCTCTGTGCTTAAATCCTGCCATTACTGCTAGATTCCTGCTCAGGAATCTTCAGTTTTTCTTCATTATATTCAGTCTCTGATGCTTTTCTTTTCAGCCTGCATTTTCATCGCTGCTTCTGTAGCTGGATGGTGATACTGGATCATTCACTCTTTCTAGGTTTATGCCAGAGGATGGAAGGAGGCGGTTTTGCTTTCCTGCTCAGATTTGAACACTGGGCCTTCTTTGGGTATAGGCCCAGGAAGATTCACATGGACAAAATTTTGTAGGATTGTCTTACTTATATGTAGAAGGTAGCTGAACTGAAGCATCTGGGGCTTGTAGACACCATAACAGAAATAAAGTAGCACATTAAGCAGAAATGAAAGACTGTTCTTACTATTGGTAATAACATGTGTTGTCACCTTTTGGATTTAGCAGTATAAGATCTGAAAATTTTTTCTTTTGGGATGAGAGACATGACAGTTGTTAATGCTTAGCTCATGGATATAGTGTCACTTACCCAATAAGGAATTACATTTCAAGCTGAGTCCTTGAACATATCCTTAGGTTTTTAAGGTATTATCTCTGGATAACTTTGTTGTGTGATTGTCATCTTCTCATTTGTTGTAACTTGAAATATAATTGTCCTTTGAACTGTCACATCTTTGAAATTCCTTTCTCTTTCTGTTGATAAGTACATGTGCTAAAAAGTGCAAATGGGAGTGTTGCACTTCTCTAGTGACTTCAGTGGGATTTCTAGGTGACCACTCAGACTTTAGTTTATTGTGGCAGTATTGGTGCTGAGGGAAAAAATTATTTAAATTTTACACATACAAAAATAAGATATAACTATATATTATCATAGCATTTCTTTCCCTGCACTCTCTTTATGCCCCTTAATTTCTTGGACTTAAAGGGGTATAGGTGGCAGCTTACTATCTTCATTAGTGCCTATAAAAGCTCTTGCAATGTGTGTGTAATAAGCATTAGTATTCTCATTGACTGTAATACATGCCAGATGGACCTGTAGGTAACATAATAGTGACAAAATCTTACATCACTATCTCCCCTGTGCTTACTCTGCCTTTATCCTATACCAGTTTAGAACATGTAATATCTGTTCTTCTCCCCTTCTTTTCCCTTCCATTCCTCCATCCCTCTTCCCTTCCCTTCTTCCTCCTGACCTCTCCACAGCATGAGTCTTTGGCCACTGTCCTTTCAGATGTTTTCTGAAAGCTCACTTGATCTATAAAACCTGTCACAAACAGTAGAAAATGAAAGTCTTATTTTAACTTTCACTAAAGACCTTTTAACATTCTTCTGAGAATTAAGAGGAATTTGTGGTGGATAAATTCCACAACAGATATTCTCAGAATTCCAAGTATTCACATTTACAGATGTCCATGTAGCACCAACAGCATGACATGGGATTTAAACACTTGCAAACTGGGCCCAAAATGTTTGTCAAAGTCCATTTAGACTCCAAGAAAAGTACATGAGCTTCACTAATTGTATTTATGTAATGCTAATTACTTTCCCCGGCCTCCTCTTTTTCCTCCGTTGGCCACAGATGCTTCCTGACAAATTTTAATTCTAGATTGGGCATTTTCACGGATAAGGACTGTCTAGTTTTAAGATGCCCCATGCTTTATACTCGACAGGAAACAGAGAGTCAATAACATTTTTCATTTTTTGCTTCATTAAAATGATATTTTGATTTTGATATTGTAGATAATACAGCCAGTATCCTCACAAGACGAAGGAGGTACAGTCGAACCACTCAAGATATCTATTACCTCCCCATTTTGATTTCTGATGGTGGAGTGCCCCCTCTCAGCAGCAGCAGTACTCTCACAATTCGGGTTTGTGCGTGTGAGAGAGATGGACGAGTGAGAACCTGCCATGCTGAAGCTTTCCTCTCCTCCGCTGGCTTGAGCACCGGAGCTTTAATCGCAATCCTGCTCTGTGTTGTCATTCTTCTTGGTAAGCCATTTTCGCTATTCAGTAATGCTGTCCTTCCACTGGCTCTCTGAATGTGACAGGGCAGAAATTTTTAATATGATATGTTTTTGAACCAGAGGCTGCCTGGTAGTAGGAGGTAATTAGAAACACATAGCTGTGATTAGAGGGGAAAGGTTTAGCTAAAATTAATAGGGAAAAATGCCTTTAAAGTACATTCATGAATATCTAGAATCCACTAGAAATTATTTTTCAGAGGTTATCAAGTAATTAGCACTGCAGATCTTTTTTCTGTAAATTGGAAAGATTTCAAAAAGCCACTGACTCTAATTCTATGACTAGAACAGTGTGAAAAATGATAGAAAAGAGATGAGGAAAGCTTTTTGAAATGCATTACACTGTAAGAAGCACCATTAGCACTGTACAAAAGCCATTTCTTAATTACCTTTGTGGGATAAGCTAGTAGCAATGCACAACATAATCCACAGGGGCAAGGGACATATGAGACTATAAGATGACTCCATTAGATAAATGCCATCGCAAGTGCGTTTTCTCCTGACTTTCTTTTTCTTTTTTTTTTTTTCCCCAGGCCAATTTGAATGTTACCCATTAGTTAATATTCTTTTATTTTTTTTCTGGCAGAGGCATAACTTGCTGGGTGCATACCTCTGTACTACTTCTGTGCCTTTCTGCAGTCTTTTAGAGTCAGCAAGAAATAATGGGAATTGCAGTGTGACGCACATAGGAGATTTTGAGGCTTTTTTTCCAAAGGCTCTACATTTTCTAAAGACTACTTTCCTCACAGCTTACTTCAGAACTTCCTTGTCAGAAAGCTGTTTTAAAATGTAGAGTAGTACATGTAGTTTATAATCTTGTATTTTATCATACAAGACTGAATAGTCATAAGAGAAAAAATAAACCTTTTACATTTTAATTCAATATATGTGCTAAATATTGGGTTTAATGAAGCACTGAAAGCCCTTAATAATGCTTCTGAAAAATGTCAGCCTTAGTTACTCATTTCTCATTTAAGTGAAAGAATGTTATCCCCTTTTATGTCCTTCATGAGATCCATAATAATCTGACTAGCGGATTTCATTATTGGCTCAAGAAACCCCAGCAATCCCCACAAAGAAAATACACAGTAGAAGAGTGCGAGTGCTCTTTACTGACCCTTTGGAAGACCAGGCTGTATTGGAAGTTTGTAGTTTCAGTACAGCATTGTTAATTTTCCCCTTAATTGTGTGGTCTCAGCCTGTTGCATTTTGGCATGTTGCTGTGTCAAAACACAGCTGTATGGATTTCATGGGTGCTTTCCAAGCATATGGTAATCTATCTTGAGGTAACACCTTACACAGCAAAGGCATTGCTCACTGAGAAATATAAGTATGTTCTTCTCCAGATTGGACAGGTTTGGTGACCCTTTGTTACGGACATGTGCCTGATGTAATGATCCCAAATACCAGTATTAGCCTGAAAATATTACACCTCTGTATTCATGACTTAGTATCTGCTGTTTCTTTAGCATATATCTACTTACTTCAGATATAACCTTTAAACCTACTCTAATATCTGCAGTTTTCTCTTTAGCAATTGTGGTCCTTTTCATCACCCTAAGACGTAGCAAGAAGGAGCCCTTGATCATTTCAGAAGAAGACGTCCGGGAAAATGTTGTGACATATGATGATGAAGGCGGTGGAGAAGAAGACACAGAAGCATTTGACATCACAGCACTGCGGAATCCATCAGCTGCTGAGGAGCTAAAATACCGGAGGGATGTTCGTCCTGAAGTGAAGCCTTTGCCCAGACATCATCCCTCCTCAAGCCTTGACAGTATAGACGTTCAGGAGTTCATTAAACAAAGACTGGCAGAGGCTGATCTGGACCCCAGCGTGCCCCCGTATGACTCCCTACAGACATATGCCTATGAGGGTCATAGATCAGAAGCTGGATCTATCAGCTCTCTGGATTCAGCCACAACACACTCTGACCAGGATTATAATTACCTTGGAGACTGGGGACCTGAGTTCAAGAAGCTAGCTGAACTCTATGGGGAAGTAGAATCAGAAAGAACAACTTAGTGGTAATTCCCAGAACAGAGAAGTTCCTAAACAACTGGAGATATAATGACAGCAACGGTAACAAAAAAAATGAATACAGTACTTGGAACTGAGCAAGTTGTATGCAGTTACTGTAGAACAAGTGCCCTTTTCATATTTGAAACTGGGTTCTCCAATTGGAAGAAAGTCAAATTTTGAAAAATACAGAAAACAGAAGCTGTTGTCCCTTGTGTATATTTTTTAATTGCTCGATAAAGTCCGTGGTACCGTATCTGTAACAATACCTAAAGTAAAGCCAAGCAATGACATTTTTATTGCAATATGCTTAACATCTCCAAGCTACAGTAAGTTTATGGTCATGCCTGTTTAGGAAGATAGCTAACGGAGGAGCAAATCTCTTGCAGGTGGTTGTGATGTTGCATTTCTAGCTGTGCTCTAGGCCTTGTGATCCCAATGTGAGGTAGCCGATGGGGTTTACTATCAGTGTGAGAAGTGCTAACAGTCTGTTTCCTTTACAGAAGGGATAAGCCACACCTGTCCTCTTAAATAAATGGTCCTTTGATGATTTAATCTTACTGAATTAGCAGGTTGCATTGAGATGATGTCATTTCATTATGTCCTTCATAATCTTTTCATCCATAACCAGCTAACAGAAGGAGGGCATCGTTAGCTGTTAGCTCAAACGTGGCTCTAGCCCATAACCCCAGACCTGCTCTGCTACTATGTGCTAGGGGACCTGTTGTTTCCAGTGTCGTGCTTTTTCTTTTTGTCTTTTTCACAGGAGCATCATTCATTTAAATGGAATGGGTCCAAAGTACTCTTTATGCAGCAAAGCAGATGAAGCATAGGCTCTTTCAATAAAAACAACAATGGCAGCACCATTAAACTACGCAGTTGTTTGGTTCGCTGTGCTGCACTTCTGTCAATAGATGAAGCTTTTCAAGTCTTTTGCTGATCTGAGTCCAGGAGCTACAACAGTCAGTGTAAAACACAGAGTTCTTAATCATAATCTCTCTCTATTTCTGTGTTCGGCTAAAAGCAAAATAGAGCTGCTGGTAAGATATTGGGATAGTGAAAATTGAAACAAAGAGAATAAGATGATGATGCTTTTTTCTTTTTAGTTCAACCTACTGATACTTAATTTCTCTTAGAGTAATTTCAATCTAAGCAGAGCAAGCTTTTTTCTCCCTATTTCAAGCATCATGGGAACAGGAACATTCTAAGTCAGTGGAGGAAGAAAAAGTTACAATGTACCATTATTGTGGTTCCTATGGATTAAATAAATTGATTTCTTATGTTAGTAACTTTTTAGCTAAACAGTTCTGCCTAACGCTGCAGACTGCTTAACACTTAATTTAGAAGATTCTTATGTTTTCCTTTGTTTTGTTTGAAACTTTAACCTTTTGTTTGTCTTTCTTGTGATAATACTGTGAGAGTACCAGGAGCTCATAATATCTCGTGAAAGATTATGGCCTATAAGGCTCACCGTCTATTAGTCTTCTTCTAAGAAAACTGTAACTCCACTTAGGGAAGTGGACTTCTTGCAATATGCATTTGATAGGGAAACTGCCCAGAGCGGAAGCTGTGTACTGTTTTTTTTACTCTCTGGGCTGGTGTGGAGAGCGATACAGATCTGTACACTCCACTAGATTTCTCCCTATACATTTTAGGTGCCACTTACCTTCAGCTTAGTAGAGAAGGGTCTGTATTTATTGCTGACCTACTGTGGGCCACGCAGGTGAACCAGACTATTCAGCCTTCCCTTCTTTACTGTATGGTTGGGTAGGTCCGAGACATGACTGAAACTTCTGATCAGTTCTACTTTGAGGATTTTTTTTTTTTTAAATTAACTCCTTCCTGAGATGTAGTTGACTGCAAATTGGCAATTAGCTTTGTAAGAAACTTTTCAAACTCCAAAAAGTATTAGTTGCACTGTAGTTCCAGAATTGGTTTTTACTACACTGTTTTGTTTGCAACTTGAAAACTGTAATGTTTCCCTTTCTGTCAATGTTTTGGTTTTGGGTTTGGTTGGTTGTTTTTTTTTAATTTTTACCAAATACAGAATCTTCTAGAAATGCATTTAAGGAGACATGCTCATTGTAGAGTAAAGTTAAACAGATGCTTTAATACGGTAAGAGTTACACTCAAGCTGAGAATGGTTCATGTATTGTCTTTTTTGGGGGTAGAGTTAGGATGTTTCAGTTTCGTCCCAAATGAAGCAACTAGTAGTGCAGGATTTTATGAGGAGAAATTTTCTTTTGAATTAAATCGCACTTGCTTTATGCCAACATCTCAATTTTTATATTGTATGAGTAGAGTGCTAAGAAGAAAATCTTTCAGCATTAGTAGTACCAGGGACCATAATACTTTGTACCACATCTGCATGAAAACTGCATTCATTGTTGTATTATCATTTTGAGAGCCAGGTATTAGTTATCTTTATGTCTGTTCCCTCTGGCCCTACACCGAAGCAGGGAAAATCAATTGTATTTTGTGCTTTAAGCAGTGTTCCTGCCATTGTTTTCTTTTTATTTGCTTCATAGAACATTGAGGCTTAAAGCAACAGAAGTGCAGTGACATAAGCAAATAATCACTCCTTATGCTCATGTTCTGATTGAGGTAATGAGAGAAGGAGGTCATATCTCAGAGAAATAAGAATCCCGTTTTCACCATTCCTGGTGCTGTCTTTGCTGCTGTACAGCACGTGCATCATACCCACAGCCCCTGGAATTCTGAATCCTTTAAAACTCTACAGGGTTATTCAGACGCTGCTTCAGTGATGCGGTGTGTCCTGTTTGGTATGTCCTATCCACAGTGATCGCCAAATGTGCTTTTCTATCACAATACGTCTGCATGCTTGCTATGCTTACTGTTTTTTACTCAAATGCACATCACAGTGCCGTGTTGTTTGCATGACAAATAGCAGAATATTAAATCTTCAGGGCCACAGAAGAAGGCCTCACGGTGCAGAAAGAACAGGTTTACAGATTTCTTTTCCTGATCCCACAAATTTTTCCTTTGGTCCTTTGTGTCCTAGAAATGAATTTAAACTATATTTGAGAATGTCTATGTTAACGTTGATTAAACTGGAAGAAAATTAACACTGTATGCTATGGAGGGCACGATCATTTTGTAGCATTGCTGATTTAAACAAAGTATACATTCAGTGAAAGTATTGTGGGAAACACTTTCCTAGTTTATGGTTAAGTCTGATTGTATAGACTTTGCTTAAAGCTTTCATGGATGTTTTGTGTACTCATATTCTCAGATATTTTCCTATTAGCTTAAATAGTAATCCTGTTGCCGCTTAACAGCTAAACACTGAAAACTGCCAGTTTTACTTAAACTGGAAGATACTGAGTAAAGTTAAATGGCACATACAAAGTGGTGCTTAAGGGCTTTCCGATTTACAATTTTATTTCTGCAACAGCTATTCAACTAATAGTACATTTACACCAAATTAATCAGTTGCATTCCTTCAAACAAACCCTCTTTCTTGTCATGGTGAGGGCACTCAGTATGCTGTAATCTTGACATATCATCTGAGAAAATGGTCTGTTTAAGTATTTTAAAATGTGAAAATACATTGTCAACCTAAAACCAGTCAAAAATGTAATTTAATACCCTTTAAAGACAAGGAAGAGCTTGAATTCAACTAGCATTAGACTAAGATTCCTGCTTTGAAAACAAATTAGTTTATCAGTGTCACCGTTTATCACATACGCATAGAAGACTGTAAAAGTTGAAAGTAATTTCACTCTCTTATGCACTTTATTTTTTGCATTCTTCTTAGAAAACCAAAATAATTGTAAACATTTTTGGTTTTGAATTCTAATTGATGCAGTTGTTTCAGTTGTGAATACTGCAAGAAAATGTCTATGTGAAAATACTCTTACTGGTATTTAAAAGGAATTACAAAATTTCTGTGGTCTAAGGCTTTGTAAAATCATCCTTTAGAAAAATCTAAGTATTGGACCAATCTGGAATTAACCAAACTCCTAGACTTACACAAAGGGTAACAAAGGAAATATTCTAAATGCAGAGAAGAATATGAAATTATGCTGCCTAGGGTTACTTTGTGGATTATAAAGTGCTAAGACCTTGTACTTGCAGTACATATAAACGGCACAGCGCATTCTAAGGAACGTTAGGAGCGTGTTGCAAGTATTGGGCCATCCTTATTTTTCCAAAGTCTCCAAAAATATATATATTTTTTTTAACAAAAGAGTAATGTAAAGTATACCTCCTTATGCAAGTGTTACTGATAGAAATTGTTACATTTTCTTTTAATAAACAAAAGGGACAAAATCTTTTATTCGTATTTTTCAAATAAAATATGCTCTTTGCTATGGTGATGGGTTATTGTATTCCTCATCACAACTACAATGGGTAATCTTCTTTTCACTCCTGTATTTTATACTCACCAAAGAAATACAACTATCTAAAAACACTGTCTTTAAGAATCAGATGTGATACAGCAGTATTAATGAGGTCAATGTCAGAAACGGTATGGTAACTTTAACTAGATTTTAATGCCTGGTATAGTCACTCAGTTGTGTCACTATTTCAAAGACTGTCGTACATGATTATTGCTACAGATGGGTAGGGAAAGAGACACACCAAGAGATACTTTGCAACAGACTGCAGTATGACTGCTAAATGGTTCATTGCTTTTACTTGTGGCAACTATTCCACTCCAACCATCACTGTCCTGAAACTGAAATACAGCGTTACAGGATGAATACATTATCCACATGAATGAGTTAGGGAATTGCACATCTATGAATCCAGATTGGTGGTAGCAGTCGGGGTTATTTTCCTAAGCTGACACAGAATAGAAGAGAAAAAACAAGCAAGGACATTCACAATGATCAAGCTCAGGCACAGGCAATGCAAGTGCACGGGAATCACTCATTCTTTCTCAAAGGAATTAACGGGCTTTACCAGCAAATTACATCTTAGAAAATATCGGTCCCATGGCTCACAAGGAACTTGTTGCATACAAGACCTTCTTTCCCAGA